GACTGAATCAAGAAGCAATTAACAATCTAAATAGACCCGTAACATCATTGTCTGTGTTTCAGTCCTTTCCACTCAATCTCTACCATCTCAAAAAAGAAATAAAGAAAAGTTCAGAGAACTAATAGTGATATCCCATTGGTCACTGGTCATCTTTGACGTTTGCAAACTAATTTCTGCTTTTAAGATCCTGTGAAGATGAGAAATACATGCACATATGAACTATCCCTCAGAACAAATCATTTCCCCAGAAAGCAGTTGCTTAGCTTCACTTATGAGCACTTTTTCTTAATATATATCAATGTAGGCACAGCGATTTGGCATAGTGGCTAAAAATCTCGCCTTGAATTTTCTGGGATCCCATATGGGCGCTTGTTCTAATCCCGGAGCTCCACTTCCCATTCAGCTCCCTGTTTGTGGCCTGGAAAGCAGTCAAGGATGGCCCAAAGCCTCGGGACCCTGACCTGCATGGGAGAATTCATGGAAATTCCTCTCTCCTAGCTTCAGATCGGTGCAGCTCCGGCCACTGCCGTCACTTGGAGAGTGAATCATTAGACGTAACATCTTCCTCCCTGTCTCAAATAAATATAAATATTTATTAATAATTACATATATATGTATGTGTGTATTTACATTTATGTCAACGCTGATCCTGGTGTGATAGCTCAATTGGATAATCCTCCCCTTGCAAGCACCAAGATCCTACCTGTGTGCTGCTTTAACTTCTGGCCGCTCCATTTCCCAACTAGCTCCCTGCTTGTGGCCTTGGAGGACACGGAGAAGAGCCCAAAGCCTGGGGACCCTGCACCCGCATGGGAGACCTGCACAAAGCTTCTAGCTCCTGGCTTCTGACTGGCTTGGCTCTGGCGGAGTGGCCATTGCAGAGTGAATATATAGCCATTCACACAATTCAAGGGAGTCTGTGTACCAACTGACTAACACAAGCACTGTTTGTTATACGTGATATTGCCATGTAACTTAGCGACTGATCATGGTACATGCATACAGTGGAAAACTCAAAGGTTACAAAAAAGCAATGAAAAACAAACATCTGTAGAAGAATCTCTAGGTCATACTGTTAAGTGAAGCAAACATAAAAGGCAGATGTTGTGTGCACATTACAAGGGGGAATGATAGCGGAATAAGGGAAGGACACGTTTAAACAAATGGAGAAACATTAGCCCGTGTGAAGCACGAGGGGCACATTCCAGGAAATAGGAGAGCACTGAATCACAGCAGAGGGGGACAAGAGACTGACAGACACAGGAAAGCAGCCGACACAATGGTGTGGCATTGCAGAGACCGATACCCCAGCTGCTTTCAGAACACCACTGGCAGCCAGAACTACACCAGCAACAAGCTGGGAAGGGACTTTCACCAGGAGCTCAGAAGGTGAACCCAGACAAACAACTGCCCGTCCTGCTGGCCTGTTGGATTTCACCAGGAGCAGAGACAGAGCAGCACGTCCCAGACGGGCAGTGAGGGAACAGGGTGGATCTCACAGCCCAGTTGGCCCCCACAAAGCCGACTCAGGTGTCATTTGGTATAGGGAGGCAAAGGCTTTGGGGCAGGACTGAGCATGCACTGAGCTGGGAGTGAACGCATTTCTGGCTCATTTGTTGAGTCAACTGCAACAAAGTGCCATCCTACAGGTTCCACCCAAGAGAGGCACGGGTAGCCCTCAACCTGATAGCCAGCAGATCAACAACTCTACTAGCGGCACATCACGTGCCACTTTGTACAGTGTGGAAAGACTTTAAGACTGTAGGACAAGAGTGAGCTGTGCATGTGCTGAACGGGGATGAACTCACTGAGCTCAGTGCATTGCACTGGTCCCACAGGGAAGAACACCGACTTTGGCATTGTATGGGTCAAAATAGGTACATGTGGCCCTCTGCCTAACAGCCAACAGGTTCAGGAAGGATCAGCACCAACAACAATCCAGTTATACAAGACACCGGATGCCTCCCTAATTCTGGGACCTCCTCTAACTCAAAACCGGAAAAAGATCCTATAGACAATGGTGCAGCCTCAGCTTGGTATCACAGCAGGTGGAGATGGAAAGCCAGGAGCTGGGGCTACGCAGACCATGCTAAAATCGAACATAAGAATCCAGACCTGGAACTCGTGGAGGGAGTGGCACAAGGGATTGCAAGCAAAGAGCCACGTGCCAACCACAAAAAGAAAAATCAAATTGCAGACTTGTGGGTGACACAGCTTAGAAACCTGCCCCAAGGAGAAGAATCTCACAACCTCAAGTACAGTGACCAAGAGAAAGGAAGAGACAGAGACACAATGCATGTTACTCAAGACTCCCTTGCAAAGCAGCAAAACCCTTGGTCAATCTCAGAGTGAACTGAGGAAGACATCAAGAACATGAGGGATAATCCTCAAGACTCTCGAATCCTCACAAAGGACTATCAGTACGGGCACCAAGGACTTCATCCCAACAGCCAAGCAGAACACGCGGAATGGCAGTGCCTCTGGAGGCCGAGAACTCCGAGGTCACCCAGCCCCGTCTGGATCTGCTACATGGGATGGAAGAAGCTCAAATCCTTCCTCACATGATCCAAGGTCCTCGGAACAACAGCCAGGAGCCCAGAGTCGTCTGCAGAAACACAACAACAGTAGGCTTCCTTCAGGACCAGGCAGAGCAGCTTTTTCTGGTCCTTACTTAGTTCCTACTTGGATCCCCACCCTCTCTTGCAACGACCATCAGGGTCGCTCCGGATCCCCTGCCCCCACCCCCAGAAAACTAGAATAGATACACAGAAATACAAGCAAAGCTTAGAACCAGACAGGAAATGGTCAGCATGGATCCACATAAACCTTACGAGGTAGGAAACAAAGGATTAGTTACTCCTCAAAGGATTAGTTACTCCTCACTAGGGGATTGGAGATTTCTCTGCACACCCCTCCTAAAACGCTTCTGCACCTCAACTGTTGACAAATGCCTTGTTGAAGTTACAAGCCAGTTTAGACTATCCTAAAATCTGCCAAGTTCAGCAAAATTATGCTTCAACACTGTAAACTGATAAACACTAAAATGAAAATAGACACGAGACAGCTGAAAGCACCCGATAGCCACTTCAAGGTGTATAGCAGCCAGTCCTGTGTATCAACAAAAATTGAAATGTCAATGAAGTAGTCAGGATGTGGTTAAGAACTTGCATTTTTTTTAACATATTGTTTACTCAATACTATGTCAGTTGATTCCATAATGGTATCAATTCTTGCTGATATTATGTTGGGGCTTTTAAGGGATCGGGATGATATTCTGCTGGCTCTCCCTTCAGACCACAGAAGGTCTCCCCAGCAAGCCGTTCAACTTCTCTAGACTACAAGGGGCTGGACTCTATGCTGGGTATATGCTTGCAAAGAAAGAATCTCAACTGAACTTGAACTCTGGTCATGCAACAAGGTGGAGGAATCCACCATGGGCAGAGGGGTGGGGGGAATCCCAGTACTTATAAAACTGTGTCACATAAAACAATGTAATTAATAAAAACAAAACAAAAGAACAAACAGAAAAGAAAAAAAAAAAGAAACAAAAAAATGGCAATTAAACTCACAGGAGACCTCTCACAGGAAACTCTACTGGCCAGAAGAGAATGGAGCAACATCTTCCCAATCCTCAAAGCACAAAATGGTCAGCCCACGATGTCGTACCCAGCTAAATTTTGTCTTCACAAATGAAATAAAATGCTTCCAAAGCAAAGAAAAGTGAAAAGAATTTGCCTCTTCCAAAACTGCACTACACAGAAGACTTAAACAGGTTCTCTTCACAGAGTAATGGAATACCACCCACCAAAACCAACAACATCCCAGGAAAAGAACAACAGAAGACTCAATCAATGAACAACCCATTGCTAAAACGACAGGACCAAATTACCACCCATTTACACTAACACTGAAGAGAAATGGCTTCAACTCCTCAATGAAACGTCACAGATTAGTAGACTAGATCTAAAAGAAAAACAAACACATCTGTTTCTTGCCAACAGGACACATCTCTCACCAACAAAAACTAGATCTCATGGATTTTGGAGAACTGGGCCTCCTCACTTGCTAAGCCTGAGCAGTGGACAGCATGCCCAGATGCACTTGGGGCAGATGGCAGCTCACCCAGGTCTGCAGAGGACATTGAGTACCATGTAGACGATGGGAGACAGAACCAATCGGACAACTCTCCAAACCAGGCTTTAGCATCAAGCATCGGGGCAAACGGACACTCTCAGGTGGACAATGTCAGCCAGTGGACCTTGGAAGAATTTCCTCATTCTTGCAGCAACAAAACCAACAGCCTTTCAGAACTATCACAACCCCTTGCGCAGTGCCCTCAGAGCCTGATCCACATCTGGGACCCTGGGATGATATGGGGTGGCTGTCCTCCACCCCCCGGCACTCATGCGGTTAGGATGCTGGGTATGGCTTCACCTCTTCTTCTTCCCTTTCCCCAAGAACAAAGAGAACAAAATGAACATCAGAAGCGATGGTGTCATGCACGGGAGCCTATTCCTCCACCCTTCCCATGGGATACACTGGTACACATGGACATGGATCCATCTCAACTACATAATCAACACCAAAATAAAATCATTTTATCAGACTTGTTGTGGATGAGTAGGGAGGCCAGAGGCCTGGAGTGTGGCTGTGGACAGTGTGGTCAGAGATGGGGTCCTGGGTCAACCAAACAAATGGTCCACACAGGGTCAGGTGTCAGGCAGGTATGGCAGTTACTCCTGCGATGCTTCGAGCTGGTTGCCAGGTTGGAATAACAGATGACATCAGAGGATTCCGCCCCTCCTGATTGGAGGGGCCACACTCACTGGCACCTGCCAGCACTGGCTAACAGCGTCTTCTCCGAGCTGGGCTTCAGTGTTGACTCCCACGCTGAGGAAGATACGACACGGTGCGCTTGAGCCAGCCAGGCTTGATCGGGAAGGACTGAGAGAGATCAGGGTGTGGGTCCGCAACAGGGAGCCACGGTTTTGAGAAAGACCATGGCCAGCTGCGAACCGGACCCCCAGATCGAGGACTGTCCCCTGGAGGCGCTGGTGGATGATGAGGTCCCAGGACCACCAGATGAGGGGCCCGAGGGAGCAGGTGACTCACAATCTCACTGGGGAGGAGGAGGGTGGCAGCAGTCCTAGGGAGCTGAGGACAAGTGTGATGGCAAAGAAGGCCTCGGGGGGTCAGGATTGGAGGAGAGGCCTCCAAGAGGAGACCAGGATGCCCACAAGGACACAACCCCAGGGAGCTAGGCACGGCAGTGGGGGGATTGGGAATGGGGCAGGTGTCCTGGCTTCCATTACAGGCTAGAAGACAGGCTGGGCAATGTTGGGTGTTGGGGGTGGTACCAAGTGTGCCATGTGTCAAGGAGCAGGCGGCCTCAGGAGGAGGCCCCAAGCTGGGGCTGGGGAGCATGGCAGCTTTCAGTTATTCTGTGGGGGCCAAGACTAGAGATGGCCCGTCACGACAGAGCCTATTCCTTCCCACAGCCCCACACGTGGACACCAGCTCCCAGCCCCAGAGTTCTGCCGGCAGCACAAAGAGGCCTTGGTCCACAGCCTTCTCCATCTCGGGGTCAGACTCCGAGACAGAGGTGACAACAGAGATGCAGGGCATATGGCCTCGGGGCTGCAGGGCGAGCTGGCCCCGGAGACCAACCCAAAGGTGCACACAAAGCACAGAGCCCACGGAGAATTGGGATGTGGAGTGGCTCCTGGGGCTGAAGATGAGGCTCAAGAAGCAGCGTGTGTCGACGGTGCTGCCTGAGCACCACAAGGTCTTCAACAGGCTGCTCGGTAGGGCATGAGACTCGGGGAGGGTTGTGGGGGGTGCTTCGGAGGGAAGGGACAGGTCCTGGGGGACCTGGATGGAGCCTCGCCTGTGTAGCCAGAGAGACTGGGGGCCTGGGGAGAGCCCTGGATCTGCCAGCCTCTCTGATACACATGAGCTCTTGCTGCCCACGTCCACCAGCGGGGCTGCGGAGATGCCGGGCTCACTGTAAATGCCGGGCTGTCACCCACTGACCACCCCATACAGACTGAAACAGGCCTCAGTGGCACATGGGCAGCCACGGGCATGTGCACAGGCCCAGGACACACATCCATGCTGGACCAAGCCCTTCCTCACTGGCAGCCACAGACCCTTGCTTGCCAGCCACATGTGCCCAGCCTCTGCATGGCTGCTGGACCCTTGGCTCTGACCTGACACTTCCCCAGAAGAGGCCAGGGCCCGCCTGCTTCTCAGCCTAACACACTGGCCCCTTTCCCCAGAGGATCCCGTGGTCAAGCGGTTCCTGGCCTGGGACAAGCAGCTCAGAGTATCTGACAAGGTGAGTGGGCCCGACACACGGGGATAGATTGGGTTGGGGGACACAGGGCATAGCACCCCTGCAGTCATCTGCCCCTGCACGTGCCTCCACCCAGCACGCACACACAGTGCCTGCCCTTTCCTGACGGGCCCCGCATGTATGACGGAGCCTGTGGCATCTCTGCTCCCCACTGAGACTGCTGCCTCTGTGCCAGGCCCCAGGTCAGGCCAGCCTGGATGTCACAACTCTCGTGGGCATCCCTGATGATCAGGGCCCAGGTGCCCAGCTTCCTGCTCCTCCAGAGCCCTGGGAACCCCAGCTGCCCTCACACAGGGCCCTGGCAGTGGCAAGGCTACACTGAGTGGCAACAGCCCACTGCCCCAATACCCACCACCCTGTCCTGATTCTCGTCAAGTCATGACTCGTGTCGTGCTGCCCTCTCTCCATCAGTACCTGCTGGCCATGGTCATCGCCTACCTCAGCCGAGCCGGCCTCTACCCATGGCAGTACAGGCGCATTCATTTCTTCGTAGCTCTGTGAGTATTCTGCTTCCCGACTCTCTGCCCTGGAACATGCAGGACTGAGTCCTCCCTCCACCTGCAACAGCAGAGTCAGCTCCAACACCACACCCTCCCTCTGCTTCTCTGGCCTCCCAGCGCTGCTGCCCAGCCCGCTTCCGGGGGCACCCTTTCTGATCCCTGACCTGCTGGGCCCAGGCCCGTGTGGCAGGGTCACGTCACAGTGCCCACAGGCTCTTACAGGCTTGGCCCTACTTGAGTGTAAGATGACAGCTCAGCTCCTGCCCTTTTGTGGCACCTCATTCACTCTGCACAAGGCCTTGCCTGGTACATGCCATGGGTCAGAGAGTGTGACAGGGAATGTGGAACTACAAGCTGCATGTGGAATGAGTGCACGGGAGTGGATGGACACGCTGTGTCTGCCCTTGGGGGCACGTCTGTGTCGTTGGGGAGGTGTGTGCACCTGCATCATGGTGAAGGGGTGGGGAGGGGGAGGGCAGGGATGCAGTGCCCAGGGCCCAGGAGGGAGGCATTCTCTGCCAGTTCCTGTCCAGCTACAGGGGCACTGAGGGCTCCCATGCAGAAGCTGAGCTTGGCCAGAGGTCTTCCCGCTGGGCCCGCGCAAAGAGATGGGCTTCTTTTCCCAGCTACCTGGCCAACGACATGGAGGAGGACGAAGAGGACGACGAGCCTCCCAAGCAGGCCATCTTGTCCTTCCTCTTCGGCAAGGATGACGCCCAGCGGCCCCTCTTCGACCACCTGCGCCTGCAGTTCATGCGCTGCATGGGCTGGAAGGCCTGGGTCACCCTGGAGGAGTGTGAGGAGGTGGGTGAGGCTGGGGCGGCTTGAGCAGGACCCAGGAGCAGGGCTGCAGGGCCCGGGCTTGGGATGTGGGGACAGGCAAGAAGGGCCAGGGAAGAGCCTCTGAGGGAACGTTTGTCTTTCCAGATCCAAGCCTATGACCCAGAGCTCTGGGTGTGGGGGCGAGACCGGGCCCTCCTAGCCTAAGCTGCTGCACTGACACCAGTGGTCACCGGCCAGAGGGCAGGTGCGTGCAGGTCCTCGGGGTGGGCTGGGAGGGGGCTGTCTCCAGTCTGGGAGATCTGGGGACCCCTTGAGCTGCACTCCCTTTTGTCACCCCCACCTTTCTAAACCTGGTCCAGATCCACAGTGGGAGATGATTAGATGAGATGATTGGATGGGACTGTGTGCATGTCCACACCTCCCATTCAATTCTGCCGTGCTCTGCAGTCACCCACACTCACTTTCCAACAACCCTCACCACGTTGGCCACTCCAGCATCAACGCTGGCCCCTGACTCCCACCCCTGCCGCCTTGTCCCCTCCTGCAAGCTTCCACCCCAGCAACACCTCCAGCATGGCCAGTGCAGCTGCACAATTGTGTGGCAGCTCTCATGGGGGACATGCATGCATGACTCTCCTTTGGGGTGGGGAGGGCACCAGCTAAACATCTCTATCTACTTTCCAAGTATTCCTATGCTCATGGAATTTGCCAGAATGCGGAAGGGTAAGCACAGCAACATCCTGCATGGTGGTCACCCCGACTCATCAGTTCCTGTCAGGGATGGGGGCTGGGCAAGGACGCACCTTGGGCCGTGAGCTGAGTGGTTAGGGTCCGGGATTGGGCATGGTTTCTCCTGTTGGCGAGTGGCCCACCTCAGGCCCAGAGTCAGGGACCCCCACTGACAGGCCGAGGATGGCTGACAAAGACCAGAGTTCAGAACCAAGGGCCAGGGCGCCAGGGAGTCTGTCTCCCAGCCCACCCGTGGGGACTGAACTGGCTGCGAGTCACGTCTGACTGGGTCTCTCCTGCTTCCAGGTCGGTGAGCCCAGGGGAGACGTTCTTCAGCAACAGCAGCAGTCCAGACACCAAGGGCCACTGCGAGACAGGCGACAGGCCTGCTGGCCGACAGTCTGGAACAACCCAGACTCTTCGACAACAGCGTCCCCGCCAAGTACTCCTGCCAGCTGTGGGCACTCCCGGGGCTGTGCGGTGGGACAGGCCTTCTATCACTTCCATCCTGGCCCGACACTCCATCAAACTGGCACAACTGATCTCCTCCCCTGAGACAGCAGCTGCAGCCCTACTCCTTTATTGATTTAGTCACTCAGTTTCCAACTATCTGGTCCCCACGGTCAAAAACCATCAGAGGGGTCCCACTCTTGAACCCATCATTTGGGTGAATTGCACTAACTCAAATTTTACTCATACTTCTAATGGAGTGCATATTCTATATGTAGTTCTCACATAATGTATACATAATAAGATATATTTTCTTAGAAAAATATTTTTAAAACGCTATTTTTAGAGAAAATTTATTAAATTTATTGCACATCGTTTTGAAATAGGGGGCAGAATTGGGAGGGGGGCTACGGGGAGTCGCTCAAACTAGGCTGCAGCTCCCACTGGTTCGCGGGAGGACTGAATAGGAAGTGGATAGGATTGAGCTGGACTACAACACACTCGTTGGGTTATGAGGAAGACAGGGCTGGAAACAGAATGGACCCAGCAAGCTTAACGACCAGCATGTGCATAAGCTGACTGGGGTGACGGACAGTGCTGGACTCTGTACTAGCAAACTCACGCAAGAATCAGGTCTGGGATCATCTCAGAGGAAGTTTCTTTGGAGATCCCTCCAACGGAACTGCTGATCTTAGAAGCCCAACCACCAAGAGACTGTCCGCCAGTGGACTCTGAATAGGTTTCCTTGCGATTGGAACTGCGAGACTGGCAGCAATCCAGAACTGATGAACTACCAAACCCGCACAATTCTTGTAGGCGATCTCAACACGCCTCTAACACCAATGGACCGGTCTACGAAACAAAAACTCAACAAAGAAACAACAGAGCTCACACAAACAATAGAACAACTGGACTTAGTAGACATATATAGAACTTTTTATCCTAAGGCCACAGACTATACATTCTTCTCAGCGGTGCATGGCACCTTCTCCAGAATCGACCACATGATAGGTCATAAAGCGAATCTAAACAACTTCCAAAACATTAGAATCATACCATGTACCCTCTCAGACCACCATGGGATGAAACTGGAAATCAACAACTCAAAACTCCCCAGGAAGTATAGGCACTCTTGGAAATTGAACAATATGCTATTAAATGAACAATGGGTCAGAGAAGAAATTAAAGATGAGATCAAAAAATTTATGGAAACCAATGAAAACTCTGATACAACATTCCAAAACTTGTGGGACACCGCCAAAGCAGTGCTACGAGGTAGATTCATCGCAATCGGAGCCCATGTCAAGGCCCAAGAAAGACGCCAAATACAGGAACTAACCACACACCTCCAGGATCTGGAAAAACAGCAGCAGAAGAGTCCCACGCACAATAGGAAACAAGAAATCATCAAAACAAGGGAGGAGATAAACCAAATAGAAATCAAAAAAACTATACATAAAATCAACAAATCAAAAAGTTGGTTTTTTGAGAAAATAAACAAAATAGACACTCCACTGGCCCGATTGACCAACAAAAAACAAGAGAAAGTGAGAATCAATAGCATTAAAGATGAAAAAGGCAACACAACAACAGACACTACAATCATTAAGAAAATAATTAGAAATTACTACAAAGAACTGTACTCCCACAAATTTGAGGACCACCAAGAAATAGAAAAGTTCTTGGACTCCCACCACTTACCAAAACTCAGTCCGGAGGCAACTGAAGAATTAAATAAACCCATAACCGAGGTAGAGATTGAAACAGTCATCAAGGATCTCCCAACGAAAAAAAGCCCAGGCCCAGACGGCTTCACTACAGAATTCTACAAAACATTCCGAACAGAACTAACCCCAATCCTCTACAAGCTCTTCAAAACAATAGAGGAGGAAGCAACCCTTCCAAACTCATTCTATGAAGCCAACATCACCTTAATCCAAAAACCGGACAGAGAACCGTCAGAGAAGGAAAACTACAGACCTATTTCTCTGATGAACATTGATGCTAAAATTCTCAACAAAATCCTAGCCAATAGAATTCAAAAAATCATCAGACAGATCATTCATCCGGATCAAGTAGGATTCATCCCTGGAATGCAGGGATGGTTCAACATTCGGAAATCCATAAATGTTATAAACCATATCCAAAAACTGCAAAACAAGAACCACATAATAGTTTCAATAGATGCAGAAAAAGCTTTCGACAAAATCCAACACCTCTTCATGCTAAAAACTCTAGCCAAAGTAGGCATAGATGGGAAAATCCACAACATAATCAAAGCAATTTATGAAAAACCCAACGCCAGTATCATACTGAATAAAACAGTCTTTTTACCTCCACCATGCATGCTGGCTTTTCTGTCCCATCTTGCGTGCTGTCAGGTGGTCTTGCTGCAACTTGCTCCCTCGCTGGACCCTGAGCACTGATGGTGACTGACTCTTCACCTGCAAAGGGCCTTGGAGCGGGAGGCGTGGCCTGCACTGCAGTGCAGAGAGACCCAGGGTGCAAAGCTGGCACGGGCCTGTCGGTTAGATGATAGGGACAAGGAAAGTCAGCTCCTGCTTTAGTCTCCAAACAAAGCTCCACAAGCACCAGGGCTGGGCCAGAGGCACACGCGGGAGGCTGACACCTCTGTGGGCAACACTGGGCAGCGGGGCACATTCACCTGTGCTCAGGGAAGACAGGACCACCCCTCCCTCATGTGCAGGGTCCCACACCTGCGGTGGGGGGCACCTCTTCCTCCTCGGCTCCTGAGGCCAATGCACTCTCCCCTCCTGTCACCAGTTCACTGCAGGAAGACCCTGCTGGCCACGCCCTGGCTGGCTGCTTCTGCTCCTTGCCTGCTATGTCTGCTCTCTCCAGCACTCCATACTTCCTGCTGGAGGCCAGACAGCCTGGAGTCTCTTTGGTGACAGTCCCCACCTGTCCCCTAGGCTCAGCAGGCTTCCTCTCTCTCTTTACACAGTCGTGCTCTATGTGCTCCACTGAATGGAGCAACAGCGTTTGATAGCATGCACCAGACACCCTCTGTGAAGACAGGGCCAGGGAGCCTGCCAGAGTATGGGGAAGTACAAAGGGCAGCTCCTGCCAACTCCAGAGCTTCCAAACATGGACTTCTTGATCACAAACACAGAGCTACAGAGAGGGACAGAGGGACAGACAGAGAGAAAGCTTCCATCTGCTGGCTTCCTTCCCTGAGGGCTGCAACAGCCAGCACTGTCCCAGGGAGAAGCCCACATTCCAGAACTTCATCAGGGTCTCCTGCACAGGTGACCATTCGGCTATCTACTGCTGCAGCTTCCCAGGTTGTGTTCACGCAGCTGCAAGGGAAACACAGCAGCCGGACATGAACTGACATCTCTGTGAGATCTTCTGTGTTTGTGGGGAAGGGGGCAAGGAGGGGGCTGGCTCAGAGGCACATGCTCAGGAGGGAGGGAGGGAGCCATTGCTTTCCACTTCCCTCACGGTAGCCTGTGCATGGAATGTTTTGTGTGTTGTTTGGTTTTGTGCAGGCTGCCCTATCAGTGGGGCAATGTAGGTTGAGGAGGACCAGATGGCACAAGAGCCTCGATTCAGCTCCCAGCAGCGTGGCCATCCAGCCTGCGACCTAGCCGCCAGCTGAGGCACAAACAACATGGCCCCAACCTGGCACCACGAGAGCACAGCACCTGCCTCTGAAGATAGAAAGAGGGACTGATAATATTAGGTTGCATGATAATACTAACAGGCTAGAGAACCAAGTCTGAGGAAGATTGTGTGAGGTATCTGTGGACTCATCCCTGTGCAACTGCAATACTCACTGGTTTGCTCAGGAGTTAGGGTGGCCATGCGTTGAGCTAGGCATGACCAAGGAACCCGCTGGCACTCATGGAAACTCGGGTTGGGAACAGACCCAGCTCATCCAGGATGCAGCACCTGCAGGAACACACACACACAAATAAATGATATGTAGTGGCAAGGGCAACATCATACATCAGCTCACACAAAGGACAAGACAGAGGGTGCAGACTGCATGTAGGGTAGGTGCTAGAAACCTCTAGAACAAGTGAGATCTGGGTGTGGGAG